TATTATTAATTTGATTGTGTGGTATACTGAGTTCTATCTAGTGTGGTTAGGAATTAATAAATACCTGCTTAATTTTTTTTAAAATATGTCTGAGCCTTTAGAAGATTTGTTCTGCTTATTACATAGAGTTTGACATTTATAAAAAATAGATCTTGGTACCCTTTTAAAATCTTTATTTTTTAGGGCTCCTTCAGCACCCACTGTTGCTATCAAATTTAGATTATGGTATTAGCATCTCCTGTGACTAGGCAACATTGAGTTGGAATTTTAAGATCCTAAAGAAAATTGATTAGATTAACATGTATTATAAAATAATTTAAACCTTCTTCTAAGATCTCATTAATATCAATGGTATCACAACATCTATTTCCTCCTCTTCCAATACATGTTGACTATCATTTTGTATCTCATCTCTAGCAGTATAATCACCAAATATTATTTATTCATGTAAAATAGGACAAATTATTCATCCAGTTTTTAATAGAAATTTGTAAAATAAACATAGATTATAATTATTAAACAGTTAGGTTTTATACCATTAATCGTTCTCTATTTATAATTCATGTTAGGAAAATTTTTACTTTGGATTTATCACTTCAAAAACATTGGGGGCCATTTAAATCAAAATCTCACAACTCACCCGTGGGACTTTGATGGTGTGAGATTTCGAAATCTCATAGACTTCCACACTTTGAACCGGTAAGAACATGTTATCATTCTCAGTCAAGAGATCACCTAAACGATCGGTGTCCCCGCGGACCTCGTAAACTGTGAAAAAGTACCGGAAGGCTAGTCCGCAGGTGCAAACGATTCATGTGGCTCAACCCACGTAGACCGTAGCGAGAGAAATAGTGGAGACGGCGATTTCAGTAATTTGTTATATTTTTTACATTGATTTATTGTGGAAATAATATAGCCAACTTTGTGATTGTATTTCCTGTTCTTAATTTCTTGTAATTAAATAAATCCAGGTATGATAATTTTAATAAAATAAATTCTAGATCAATTTGATTTTCTTATATTTCTTATATTTCTTTTAAATATTAATATGTTATTTTATTACAAACAATAACTAATATTTGGATTACAACAATTTACTTGTACTAACCAAATATAATTAATATATAACAATTGTTAATTGTTAAATAATGGAAATTGATTTTTTTTATATTTAAATTTGTATTGATATTTTATATAACTTTAATTGGTGTTATTTGAATATAACCTTATTTAATATGTTGATGGAAACTTACGATTATTTTAGCCTATATCCTTGCTTTTGTTTAAATTGTTTTTGTAATATATTTTGATACTTTTTATTTTTGCTTAATCAAATTTATATTTAAAATAAAAGATATATACCTTATTTTTTATAATAGATTTTAGTTAGTTAGATCTTTTTTAGATTAATGTAAAAATATAATAAAAAAAACTTATTTGTTTAATAAAAACTTTTTGTTTTGCACCATACAGATTGATTTAGACACTTCACTTGACAAATTCTTATTCAACTACAGAAATACACCAAATAATACAACAGTAGTTGCACCTTCTAAAACTATTGTGATGATTGCTTAATCCATTGAGATGACTCTATTTAGACTACCTATTGTGACGATTGTTTAATCCATTGAGATGACTCTATTTAGACTACCTATTGTGACGATTGTTTAATCCATTGAGATGACTCTATTTATATGACTACCTATTGTGTTGATTGCTTAACCTATGGAGATGACTACCTATTATGACTCTACCTTGTGCTTAACCTATGGAGATGACTACCTATTATGACTCTACCTTGTGCTTAACCTATGGAGATGACTACCTATTATGACTACCTTATCTATTGTGATGTTATGACTACCTTATCTATTGTGACTACCTAAACTACTGAGATTACCAAGAATCAAACCTTAGTACGTTCTTTCATGCAAAAAGCTTCTTTCTTTATGGTGTCCCGGCTCTGGATGTTGGACTGGAATATAATAGCCAGCACCTAACCTAATGTGACAACCTAGGAAGAACTGATATGGAAGTTGAACGATAGGTTATGAATTCTATTTTGTGAGACCAATGATGGTTACTTATTATTCTAATCCACGTAAGAAGTATTATAAATTAAAATTTTATGCCAGGATAAAGGCATGTTATAAATTTTTAAAATTACTAAAATGTAAAATCATAATGGATAATATTGATATTTTTTGATTTCTTGAATGATGACCAATTGTTGTAAATTAACATAAACCTAAAGATGAATTCTTAAATATAATTAAAAATATTAAAAATCCTAAACAAGAAGATAAAACTTAATTTTAAATATGTTAAAATGTAATTTTTAAATCACATGATTGATTCAAATAACCCTTATAAGTAATACTTAATATGATAAAAAGTTTTTGAAATTAAAAGCTTTGAAGACAAAAAGTTATGTAAAAAAACATTCATTTTAGAAAAATATATTTAAATATATGTGGTGAATTTTCAAAACTATCTTATGAAGAATTTTTTTTTTTTGAATTAAAATTAGGGTGTGAAATTTAAAATTTTATTTAAAGAGAGGGAAATGTGAATAATATATTATTTGCATATTTTAACCTGGGAGATAGAAAATAAACAAAAATTAATTAAACACTAAAACACGAAAAATTAAACGCTTATAAAATATGAAATGCTAAAAAATGTAAAACGCAAAAAATATAAAACGCTAAAAATATAAAACGCTAAAAGTATAAAACGCTATGATTAACTTAAAAATAATATAATAATTATTATAATTTATCATTCCTTATTCTGGATTAAAATTTTATTCCTTATTCCATAAATTATCATTCCTTATTACATAAATTATCATTCCTTATTACATATTTTATCATTCCTTATTACATATTTTATTGTTCCAAAATTCAAAATTTTATTCGTGCATATTATTCATATATTTGATTTGATCAACTATTCCAAATTACATATTCTGATTTATTCCAAATTCCAATATTCGACTGGATTAATTATGAAATTTGAGAAATGTGAAGGATATCAAGCTAACGATAACGTTCAACGATTTCGAATGTTTAATTATTATTGGTTATTTTTATGTTAACATTATTATTTGAGAAGTTGTATATTTTTTAATTATTTCAAAGAGGATTGGTAAAATGGCATTAAAAATATATCTAATAACCTTACCACTTATTAAAACGGACTTTTTTTTAAATCTGCTGTTTTTGTAAAGATTTAAAAAAGGTTTTTATTAGATTCCTTGAAGAAAATACGAAAAATAATTCCCAAATCTTTTATATCGAAATTTAAGAACATAATTTGATTAAAATAATATTTTTGTAAATTTCTTTTTTCATAAAAATTAGCGTATCATCTACGAGGGAGGTTAAATTACCAAAACTGGAGGGGTGTTTGACTGACACTTACTTGGAGAGACTTATAATGATTTAATGTTTAAATATTTCATGTATTTATGAAATTTTTATTTTATTTTATTTTATTATATACGCAATAAATATAAATTGCAAGATATAAAATTTTTCTAAAACGCATAGTATAAAAATAATTTACTTAATTCATATTAAAGTATATAATTTTTTTGGAAGAATAGATAAATTTGATAAATTACAAAATGAAAGAATAAAAATAAAAAGTTTATAAAAAAGGGAAATTATTATATTATTCTGTCCTTTTCTAAATATCCTAGAAAAGCACGGACTAAAAGTAAATAGAGAAAAAAGGGAGTATATGGTGATAGGAGGAGATGAAACAGAGAGCATTGTTATAAATGAATGGCAGATATCGGCAATAGAAAGCTGCAAATATTTGGGCTCCACTTTACAAAGAAACGGCACGAAGAAAGAGATAAAGAGTAAAATTAATAAAGGGTGGTTAAAGTGGAGATCTTTATCTGGAGAGCTCTTTGACAAAAGAATCCCACACAAATTGTAGGGAAAAATATACAGTTCCTTAGTACAACCAACTATTCTATATAGTTCGGAAACATGGCCAACCAAAGAATCAGACGAGAGAAGTCTACAAACTAGAATACTAGGAAGTTTAAAGGTAGTGCCTATTTAGACTAAGATAATGGTAAACAGACTTAGGTGGTATGGGCACACAATGAGAAGGCCTATGAACTACATAGGAAATAAGGTTGAGAGTTTGGAAGGGTAAACGTAAAAGAGGAAGGCCAAAACCTCAATGGGGCCATAAAGTTAGAGCCAATACGAAGAATTATAAATTAGATAAACGAGATAGTATGAAATGAATAACATAAAGTGGAAAGAGATATTGAAGGAGCTTACCACCAGAAAAGGTGAAAGCTAAAAGAGAAAAATAAAATGAAAAATAAAATTATTGGCCTAAAACTATGATATTTTTATTTAATTCATATTTAAATTTAAGCTTTCTTTTCTCTTAAAATGATGAAATAAAATATTATAGCTAAGAATTATGAGTTTGATTAATATTTGCAAATTACTAAGGAATTCTAATTCCTGATCTAACATATGCTGTTTAATAAATTCTCAACTGCATGAGTCCACTTACTTTTTATAATTAATTGGAGACCTAGTTAATATTTTAAAAAATGATAATCATTTTTATTATAAGCCACATCCTATTTTATATAATAATAAAATGATCAGGAATAAAAATAAAAGAAGTCGGAGATATTAACATTATTTTAAATTAGAAAATATGTATGTTAAAAGAATGTATAAATTTAAAATTATATTTTTACTCATGATGATTTCATAAAAATTATCCAGATCTTTTATTAATGCTTTAATTCCTTCAATTATAAAAATCATCCATATTTTTTATTAATGTTTTAATTCATTCAATATAAATTAAATCCAAATCTTTTATTAATGCTTTAATTCATTCAAATTAATAATTATAAAAAATAGTTTATTAAAATTTTCGAAATTTTTAAAAATTAATAGAAAAATATTATAACAACATTACTTATTTTAAATAAATATATATATGACGTTTAGGGCTAGTCTTTAAATCACATATTTTAAAAAACTAAATATATATGGGAAAAAAGAAGCTTTTGGCGTGAAAGAACGTCCTTGGAGAAAAAGTAAAAATATTATTTTATCTCCTTTTATTTCTCTTTTTCATATCATATTATATCTTTTTACAAAAATAATATTTGAATATAATATTAAAAGGTTAAGTTATAAAACGAAAAGTAAAACTAAAATAAAAATATAATTTGAATAAACAAAATTAAATGAATGCGCGTTACATAAATTAAAACATAATACTATCAATAATCAAAATATATAATATTTTAATTTATTAATTCCTATAATATAACAATATAAATATTTAAAAAAAAACAAACCCACAACATATTTTAATGTTAAAAATAATCATCCTGTGGGATTAGACTACCCATGTAGCTAATGTAATTAGCCCTGTTCCTTGAAAGGATAGCGACAAGTGTTATTTTATAAATTTTTTGAGCTCTTTTTCTAAAATTCTAATATCTGGCTTTACCGAAATGTATTACATAATGCTTGGAATACCTAATTTATGAATTCCAGATAATTTTGGAATGAACTTTTAAACTCATATATATATTCGCTTTTCCTTAAATTTTTTATATAAATTATAAATGACTCAAAGGTTAACGGCAAAATTGTTTGGAATTCATAGGATAGGTATTCTAAGCATGCTGAAATACATTTCCATTAATATTAGATTCTTAAATTTAAAAAACGCGCTCAAAAAAATGATTTAAAATTGAAAAAATAACACATTGCCTGAAAAAACACATTCGCTAATTATTCAATTATTATTTTAATATAGTATTGCATTTTGAATTAATAAAGGGATTGGATTAAAATAAAATTATTTAATTGAAATTGGCACATATATAGGCAATTTAGATTTAGCTTGTAAATATTTTGTTAATAAGAATTTAAAAATTCTGTAGAAACATATTTATTTAATTGTATTAAAATATTGTAATTTGTAGATGTTGGATAAATTTGAAAAATGTGCAATGCAGAGACATGAGTATTTGTTTGGCTTAAAAATTCTTAACTTCATGAGTCCATTTACTTAAAAGAGCTTTATTGTTAATTGAAAGCTTAATTAATTTAAAGTAATAATGATCATTTTGCAGGAATAAAAATAATAGAAAAAAAGTCAGAGATATTAACTTGTTGTAAATTAAAAAAATAGTAATAGAATTATATTTTTACTCATTTATATATTATAATTCAACTTATTTTCATTATATAAAGATTGTTAAAGGTCTAAGAAAATTTAATAATTTAATTATTAGTAAAATCTAAAAATCTATAAAATTATCATACATGGAAAAGATACATCCTTATTTTTGCTTAACAAAAAATACTTCTAAATGAATTTTAAATTTATGTATATATTCATATTCTGTTGTAAATTAAGCCGCTATTTTTGTTATATAAAAAAAATATACAAATCAAGATTTTTTAAAAGACTCCATCCTGCGGAAATTCTTTTTAACTTTTATTTTACTATTATATATTATTATTAAAAAAATTGTTTAATAGTTATATTCATTTTTTATATTCATTTAGATATAAATTTTTAAACAATAATTAATTCTTTTTATATAAACTTGAAAAATTTTTTTATATCTTGCATGCAATTTATATTTTTATGCGTATTAAGTAAAGTAAAATAAAAATTTCATAAATCATACACATCAATTTGCAAAACGATTAACTTTTTTTTCAAAATCTGCACACATCTGTAAAATAAAAAGATGAATAATTTTTATAAAATTAATTAACTGATTTTGTAATTAATGTTTAGGTAGAATCAGGTTTAAATATTTTTTTTTCAGTAATAACTTCTAGCCTTCTTAGTGATTCTTGATCCTTTAGGTTTGTATGTGCGTACTGGATGAAGATGTTATATCCCTTCCGCTTGACTTTTATTAGGTAAATTATCAGGTTCAGGTATATCTTCTATAACATCATTCATGTTATCACTTTCTGAACTGTCATACACTTCTAGAAAATAAGATAAAATCTATTATTAATAAAAGACAATAAACCTTCCAATTCTAATCTAATTTGGTTACAAATATCCTGATCATCTAATATACCATCGCAACTTGCATTATCATCATGTAAGGCATAAAATAGAAACATGGGGACTATGTCATCCTCTTCTTCCTCACCAGATTCACATAATTCATCCTCTAATTACCAATCAAATAGAATTGTTTGGTCAAAGAAATTGGCTTGAATAAAACATTTTATAATTGTTGTACTTGTGACCTCCCACCAAGCTAATTTTATCAGGAAAAGGCTGTCTTAAAGGGTAAATTTCTTATAAACATGCTTGGCCACTCTCTTCCATATATTTGGTCATTATTTTAATTAACTTTTTCTGTAAGGGCATTTAAAGTATCAAATAACTTTCATATCCAAAGATTGAATAAGTAATGTAGTTTTGGAAGTAAAAAATTATTTTTGTATTTTTTAAATTCTAATTTAATTTAGTAATAACTAGCATTGTCACCAAACTATAATATATTTTTCTTTAAAGACAAATTTCATTCCTTTAAGATGTCTTCAAAGGTTGGAGTGGACATCCAAATATTTTTTTTAGAATAATATTTAACAGGTAATTTTTTATTTTTAAAACATCTTGGATTTTTAAATTATCCAATTAAAGAGAACGGTTACCTTTTCTTTATCTTGTTCAAACTCTAATTGGGTTTCACTAAATTCCATGGTACCCTTTGGTAACACTCGGTAGAACAGTTCAGTTTCATCACAATTATATATGTTGCATTCAACATAACCATCAACGAGAAGGAAGATTTCTTGTTCCAATCATTAGTACTAGTAAGATCTGTACTCCCTCCTTCATAGTAGATTATGTGAAAATTAATATAGCTCCTTTTCCTAAATCTTTACAACCAACTGGCAATAGGAATCCCATAAAAATTTAGAACTACCTTCATAAAATGTTTTGCTATAATAGTCTTTTCCAGCATGACAGGGTCATTCAAGGTACAATTTTTCTTCTCATGTGTGCAAACCAAATTAATAATGCTGCCTCTGTTTTCGGGAAAATACTATTTCTGATTTTCTTAGTTGATGCTGGTTTATTTGTAAGGCATTGCCATAATATGATTTTTCGTTTGATTCAATTCTGTAAATTGTAGAGATGTGGCATTATAAACTTTTGCTAAGAGTTTTTTCGTATATCTAATTTATCAATAACTTCAGCCTTTTGTTTAAGTCAATATTTTAAATTTATTTTAAAAATATAAACAATTTAAGAATAAAATAATAATAAATTACCATAATTCTTATTTTAATTTAAGAATAATTTTTTAAATATTTAGTGCTAATCTCCTATTTAAAAATCGTCGCTTCGCACTTATACGATGAAAATGACGTTGTTGACATATAAATATGGGAGTTAAAATTTTTCGCATTTAACTGATTTTTCGCTATCAACCGATTTGCATTTAAAAATGTATTTTAACATTATGCCATTGTACATTTCAACAAAATGGCGCATTTTTTTCGCATTTAAAGATATTTGCACTTAAGCGATATGCAATTGGTTTTGACTGTAAATATAATAAGTCTGTGATAAAAATTACAAATTTTACCTTATATAAATATACATGATTCTCAAAATTTGTTGCTTGGGTCATATTGTTGAATGTGGATTCCTTATAATATGTGTTATTTATATTTAAAACATTTTATGAAAGTAATCATTTTAACCTGTTATATTTTGGTAACTAATATAACCGAGCTTGAACCAGGTACAATTTTTAAATTTATCAAATGTTATTTCACAGATTAGACATTAAATTGCAAAATAATATATCCTATTATTCCTTAATATTAATAATAATAATCGTATAATTATAAAACAAATTTAATATACTTTACATATAATATATTACTATTAACAACACAAAATTGGTTTATATACTAAATAATTAAAATTTAGTCTTTTAATTACGAAAAATCTGATAAGTGCATAATTTTTTTTATTCCCAAATCTTTGCAATTAATCGGTTTTGACTACATTAAATATTTAATTTTAAAATCATTATAAACAGACATTTGCAAATAGTCGCCTAATTTTATATATGTGATGTCTTAATTAATAAGAATAATTTAAAAAATTTTTAATTTTGATTTATTTCAAATTATTAGGCACCATTGTCAATTCAGATTAAGGCATGGATAAGCTTAAAGTAGTGCATACAAGGAGTGGATAGTTAAAAATAGGATTGAGTAAGTTGTTGTCGTTATATTTCATAAAGGTATTAGTTAATTTTTATTAAGTAACTAACATTCCCTATTCTAGTTGTGTGCATATCATAGAATCTAATAGACACATATTAAGAATTAATTATTGATTGGAGTTACTATCATTTTGTTATATTTCAACCTTTATTAGTCCTCACTATCACAAATTATATCATCAATCATCGACCATTAACCTTTTTGTAAATTCGGGCAAAAAAAGACAATTCATGTAGTAATTTGTCACTGAATACATATTTTAATTGTGAAACTTTATTCAAGACCAGAAATAACTTAGTTCATCAATATTCTTCGGGTGAAAATAGTGATTTTTTTTAAGCTCTTTATTAACCAAAAATCGTATGGTTGTTAAACTATTTATATTTTGATCAAATGTAGGACAAAATGCTCTAAATAATAAAAATTAATCAGATCTTCTACCGTTCATCTTTGCATTCATTCTGTACATCCTTATTTTAAAACTTATTAGAATTTTTAGCATTTCATTTTGTATCCAGATGCTTCCTGGCAGATGATTTAAATCATGAATATTTTTATTTAAATTTATTTGTAGCCATTTTTAGCTATATTTTGAATGAGGTGGCATCTTCAATCATTTTCCAAGCTAATAAATCTTCAAATTTCTAGTTTAAAGATATAATATTTGAAGATTAATGAAAACCACCTAAATTTCAAAAAAGGTCAAAGTGGGTTATTTTGAATCTTCTGAGATTCTCAATTAAAAATTTACCAGGTTTGTTTTACCTTATGGAGATCGTGAGTAAG